CTTTACTACGTTTCTATTGTCCGTTGTTATCCTTTTTATTTTTCTTGCCTCCAAAGTTGTTGGAGTTGTTATTGTTCTTCTTTTTATTGTTATAGGAGGATTGGTTGGTGCGAGTTTTGAAATTGATATCGTCAATTTCGATAGTATGTTGTTGCATTTCTATGCGAGTCATATCAGGGAGGTTTTTATCTTTCCGTTCCTTCTCCTGAATGTAGACATACTGTTGGAGCTTAGTCTTGAGTTTTTCTCTTGCTCGGTAGTAAAGATTACTGTCGTCCTATTCAGTTAGGATTGCGAGTTTGTTGAATTCTTGAAAATAGTTTCGAGTGGAGTTGGTTTGTTTGAGGGAGGTGATGCTTCGTTGTGCACGAGAGACCTTGTCGTCTTCTTTACACTGCTGTTTAAGGAATTTGGTGAAGGCATCGTAGTTGGTCATAACTTTGACAACATGTTCTTCTTGCTCCTCAATGGGTTTGGAACAATGTTGTTGGTAAGTAATGTAAGTTTGTAGGATAGTACCTTCAAGGTACATTCCTGCGAAGAGGATTTTGGTTTTATCATCAGGGAATCGTTCGGTTTGGAGTTGGAAATGGGTGTCGAGCTGCTGGAGAAAGTGATCAAGTTTTCCAGGCGTTCCGTTGAACTTAGTTGGGTCGCTAATTCGTGGTGGTTTTATGCTGTTAAGTTGTTTTTGGAGTTTGTTACGCTCTTTTTCTATCTTTACTCTTTCCGAATCCATGATAGAGATTTTGGTGGTGGTTTCTTCGATGTCTTGGTCGTATTTCTTTTGCAAGAATTCCAATTGCATTTGCAATTCTTCGAGGGTTTTAGGAGGGGGGTTTTCTGGTTTGGGGTTGGTGGAGTTTCCTTCTCTATTGTTGTTAGGATCGATGTTCATTTGTTTAGTAGATATGTTTAATGTTGCTAGCAGGTTGTTAATGTCTGTACTGAGTTTTCTTATGTGTCTGTTGCGCGCGTTTTCTTGTGGTCTTTCTACAGGTTGAACTTGAATGCCTAATTTAACTGTTGTAATTTCGTTTTGGGATTCTAGTGGTCTATAAACTCTAATAGATTCTTCGTCTTCTCTGATATTAGTTCTACTTTGTAGTTTGAGACTAGGGCTTACCTGACTTGCTAGTAGTTCGGTTTGTGCTGCAGCGTGTTTAACTACTCTTTGATTTGCAAGTTGTGCTAAAGTTTTAAGGGGATTGTAGAAGTTTTTTTGACTTTCATTACTTGTGTTTATGTCTGATAGACCGTAACTTTTCGACATATACTACTTCCTTTTAAGAGTTGGATCGGTTAAAGTGTTATATTTGTTCTAGGATTTCTTGGCAAGGTTTCCTAAAATAGCTTAGTATTTTGCTGTGTTTCTTAACTTTATATGTTCAGATCTCTCAGAGGGTAGTATAGTATTTGGGGTGAAGATATAAAGTTGTATGAATAGAAAGTGTAATACAGTAATTAGCTGTGAGACTAAATATTGTTTAAGTAGGTTGTAAACTAAGTTGATAAGTTGACCGATGGAGTTCCAAGATAAACTGAGAACTGTTATCGTTTAAAGGTCTTTAAATACATGATGAAGTTTCTTATAAATGAGTGACTAGATATATAACAGATGTTTGGTTGATTTGTTGATATTGTCGACAGTTGACCAGTCGACATGTTTGATAAAGAAAAGATTTGGCGTCGAATATTGTATGACGGGCCAGTGTTAAACATTTCCGCCTGTCAGTTAAAACAAGAAATGTGTTGTTCCACAACACATTTGTACATGAGGCAGAAAACAGGCGTATAAATTCTCAATCTGAAGAATCCGAATAATTATAACTAAAACATTCTTGTGAGATAAAGAGAGGTAGAAACAAGAAGCATGTTTGTCGCGCCAAGACATATTTCCTAATCGGGTTAGTCAATATGGCTGGGCCGTGACAACAACTTTATATCTTCACCCCGAATACTATACTACCCTCTGAGAGATCTGAACATATAGAGTTGAGAAACACAGCAGAGTGCTAAGCTGTTTTAGGAAACCTTGCCAAGGAATCCTGGGACAGGTGTAACACAAATATTTATTAAATTTAAAAAATATTATAGTAATATTTATTATTTAAAAGATTTTTTTTATAATTTAAATTATATAATTAATCCAGCTATTAAGTTAGATTTTTATATAAATTTAGATTAAAATAAAAATAAATTTAATAAAATTTATAAAAATATTTATAAAAATAAATTTTTTACTTTTATAATAAATAATATATTAAATATAAAAAGGAAGATATTTTAAAATTTTAAAACTTTACTTCTACTAATGAATTTACTGTTTTAAATTAATAATAGTTTAATATTAATTTTGATAATCTTACGAATATTTTTAATATTGGTTTATTTTTTGGTTTTTTTAATTCTTCTTTTAATATTTTTTTGAGTTTAAAATGTAATAAAGTAAAATAATTTCTAGAAGAGTTATTTGTTAATATCGAAAATTTATTAAAAAACTGGAAATTACTGGAAAAGAAATATTTAGTTTTTGTAATAATAATTAAAAATATTTTAATAATATTTATTGTATTAATAAGTTTAGAAAAAATATTTAGTAAGGTTAGAGATATTATAATATATTAATGAAGTTGATTATAACCAGAAATTATATGTTAAATTATAATTATTTGGTTATAATAGTAGGAATAAAAAAAATTTATTTTTGATTTTATTTCTAAAAAAAAAAGATTTTTAAAAAAAGAAGTATTAGTAGTAGAAATGATGTTAGGTAATATGGTTGTAATATTTGAAGATAAAGAAGAAGATAATTATAAAAGTAATAATTATAATTTAGTGATTAAAATAAATGATAAGATTTCTCATAGGGATAGAGAGGAAAATATTTTTAAATTAAAAAAATATTTTATTATAATTATATAAAAAATAGTAGTAAAAAAAAGATTTAAAATAAAAAATTAATTTTTGTGTTTAGAATATTAATTTAATGTATTTTATGATATTTAAAGTTTAAAGTAAATTAATATGTTAAATTATTATATAAATGTTTTTATTTTTAATAAGTTTATGGAGTTTTATGGTAATTTTTAGATGGACTTAAAATTTTTTGAAAAATTGTGTGGAGTGGTTTATTATTATTTTTAAATTTATTGGAGTTGTTACACCTGTCCCAGGATTCCTTGGCAAGGTTTCCTAAAACAGCTTAGCACTCTGCTGTGTTTCTCAACTCTATATGTTCAGATCTCTCAGAGGGTAGTATAGTATTCGGGGTGAAGATATAAAGTTGTATGAATAAAAAGTGTAACACAGTAATTAGCTGTGAGACTAAATACTGTTCAAGTAAGTTATAAACTAAGTTAATAAGTTGACCAATGGAGTTCCAAGATAAACTAAAAACTACCATCGCTTAAAGGTTTTTAAATACATGATGAAGTTTCCTACAAATGAGTGACTAAACATATAACAGATGTTTAATTGACTTATCAATATTGTTGACAATCGACCAGTCAACATATTCGATAAAGAAAAGACTTGGCGTCGAACATTACATGATAAACCAGTGTCAAACATTTCCGCCTATCAGTTAAAACAAGAAATGTGTTGTTCCACAATATATTTATACATAAGACAGAAAACAGATGTATAAACTCTCAATCTGAAGAATTTGAATAATTATAACTAAAACATTCTTGTAAGATAAAGAGAGGCAAAAACAAAAAGCATATTTATCACGCCAAGATATATTTCCTAATCGGGTTAGTCAATATAGCTGGGCCGTAACACTATCTCCTTCTTTAAAAAAAACTTCGTTATATAAAATTCTTGTGCAGGATCTTCTTATAGACAGGGAAATAATCCATATAAAATATTAGGTTTATGAGGGGAATTTTGTGTAGGACAAAATTGTATACAGGAAAAATACCGTACAAAAGAATCAAATAGGGGGTTTTCTAACACGGAAATTCCCACAAGGGAATACTACTGTTATGGTTTTGTTGGTTTTTTATGAAAATAAAATTGTAGTATAATTTTGTGTTGTACAAAATTATATAAGTAGGTATATGTATAAGAATATTAGTTTGAAGTAATAAAAATGAAATCAAACTTAAACCATTAAATATTCTTTAAAGTGTGTAATTAACACATCTTTTATACTTGCTATATTCAAAAAGGGAGTTTAGAAACATCGAAAAGAAAATAAAATGGCCAACGAGTCCCAAAAAGAGTGGGCTTGTTGAGTTTTTGAAGATTTCGAACATTTCGGCGTTATAGCGGCAGAAGCGTGTTCGTTTTATAAGTGGAGCGGTTATTCGTATAAGATGATAGAAGGCTTTAAAAATTGTTCCATATGCGTCAAGTATAGGAAGAAAAAATGCAATACGATTCCATATAAGTGTTTTTGTCGTAGATCCTTCTATAAATACGTGCTGATATATTTACCAGTGGTACGGATTTCTGAAGTAAGAGTTTCGAAAACTCAACAGCTTTATGAAATTATGGGAAGACTCGAAAATATTTAGCAAATAGTTCAAGATGATTAAAACAAATTGGCGGAAAATTAAAATAAATTATTGGTGTCTCTTGTTGAGTTTTACAAAATGGCGGCGGAGTTGAAGCGTTGTTAACAAAAGTTATCCATTATTATTGAGAAGCATTGTGAGAGCTTAGCGTATGTAGAAGCTTTATTTATGGAAGAGGATCCATTAGAGGAGGTTGATGGGGGGGATTTAGATATACAAGAACAATTAAATTATCTCAAGGGCGACGTGTGGGATTTAAGTCCTGAGTGGGTAGATAATGGGGAGGTGATTCCAGAAGAGGTTCTGGGGGCTGCCATGGAATTTTTAAGTTATTTCGCAGATTCTGTGGATATAGAGAATTTTTTCGTGTTTTTTCGAAGGGGGGAAGAGTTTTCGATGGAAAATTTTATAAAGGGTATTTATGGGGATGTTCAAAACAATCTTGCTTGATTCCTTTTTGTATTCGTAACTCTTTTTAATTTCAAATAAAATACCTTGTTGAGAGTTTCTTCTTGCGTTTGCGGAGTCTTTGACTCCTAATATTGTTTCTTTGTTTGAGGGAATTTGTTTGTTGCGTGCCTTTCTGTTGGCGTGGCCTACTTAACGAGAAGTTTTAGGTGAGCTTTTTCGACGTTGGGAGGCTAGGGAGGCTGATTTAGATTGGTTGCACTAGTGGTGCATAAGGGGGTGTATTTGTGATGAGGGGTGCTGTTAGGTGTGTGCAAGCCATGAATGTTATTGTGATTTTCGCTTCTTGCTAATCGGCATTCTTCTTAGGTCGTCCACGTCTTTTCTTTGGCGCTGCGTTGCTTTGCTGAGTGAGCATTCCGGGTTGCTTTAGATAGGACTGGATGAGTTTTGGGGAGATGTTTTCCTTTGGCTGCCAGGAGTCGTCTTCTGGGCCATAGGGTAGAGACCATTGAACAAGATATTTGTTATTCTTATTAGGTCCTTTGAGGATCTTTTCGACGTCGTATTCGGTGTAATTGTTGTATTCGATTTCCATGTTTTCTGGGTCTTCCCGTAGTTTAGGTGGAGCGGGTTCCAAGAGAGAAATATGAAATGTGCGATGAATTTGTGAGGGTCCAGGTATGTCCAATTCGTATTGGTGTTTACCCAATTGTTTTTTGATTGTGTAGGGGCTGTATTTCTGAAAATTAAGTTTTTTAGGGCGCTTGGTTTTCAAATTTTGTGCAAGTAGATATGTTTTATCTCCTTTTTTTAATAAAGGAGCTTCTAGATGCTTTTTATTATAGTAATGAGCCATTCGTTCTTGAGAGAATTGAAGGTCTTTCCTAAGGATACTATGAAGATTTTTCATTTTTTCTATATGTTCTTTAGTATTAGGCACGACTTCTTTTGGTCGGAGGGGAGGTAAAAAGGCTTTTGGAGTTTATCTACGTAAGACTTCGTATGGCGATAACTTCGTGGTTGAGTGTTGAGAGGTGTTGTATGCAAATTTGGTAGAGGGGAGGAGAGATATCCAATTTGTCTGCGCATAATTTATAAAATATTGGAGATATATTTCGAGGGTTTGAATTAGACGTTCTGAAGTATCATCTGTTTGAGGATGTGCCTTAGAAGTAATATTTAGTTTGGTGCCAGTTTGGTTCATGATTGATTGCCAATATTTGCTCTGAAAGAGTTGATTTTGGTCGTAGATGTGTTTGTGTTGGATTCTGTATTTGGAAAAGATATGTTGGAGGTAGATATGTTGGAATTCGGTTGTTCTGAACTTTTCATGCTATGGTATGAAGATAGCGGTTTTCGAGAATTTGTAGGTGATAATTAGGATTTTGTTGAAGATGAAATTGGTAAGTGGGTTTCGTGAGGGTTGTATTTCTTGAATAAAGTCATAGGTAATAACTTCAAAAGATGCATAGGGTATGTTGTGGGGTTGGAGAGTTCTGTAGGGTTTATATCGATTGGGCTTATTTCGATAGTATATGTTGTAAGTTTTGATGTATTCTTCAATATATTTTCTTATGTTAGGCTAGTAATACGATTTCGTCAGAAATTCCTGAGTATGATCTACTCCTAAGTGGTTATGAGCGAGAAAGTTGTGGTGTTGAGAGATGATTTTTGTTTGGAGTTTCTTTGAGGGAATGTAGAAAGCGTTACGAAATAGAATGATTTTATCGTGAAGTTCAAAATATTGGGGGGGATCTTGAGCTCGTTCTAGCACTCATCGTGCAACAACGTCGTGCTGATAACTTTGTATAATTTTTCCTTTGAGCTCATCTTTCACAATATGTTCCGTAAGGTTGAGGGCTTTGTTGATGGTAATATTGCGTCCTTGTGGTTTGAGGATAGCACCTTTGTTGGGTTCTACTTTTTTTATTAGGTCTGATCGTTGATTAATGGCGTCGGTGAGTGCGTTTTTTTTTCTTTGAAATGGACGATTTTTATGTTGTATTCACACAGAAGTTCTTATTAGCGGACTTGTCGTCTGCTGAGTTCTTTTGTGGTGAGAAAATAAGTGAGATTTTTGTGGTCGGAGAGGACAGTGAAGGGTTCTTTTGTTTGAAGGTAGACACGCTATTTTCGACAAGTTTTTACGATAGTCATGAGTTCCTTATCATGTATAGCGTATCGTAGCTGGGTAGCGTCGAATTTGTGAGAGATGTAGGCAACTGGGTACCATTTTTTATTGGGGTGTAATTGTAGTAAACAAGCTCTAAGAGCTGCTATAGAGGCGTTTGTTTCAACTTTGATAGGTAATTTTGAATCGTAAATTCTAAGAATTGGGGCGGATACGAAGGAATTTTTGAGGGTATCGAAAGTGGCGATTTGTTCGGGTGTTATTTCGAATTTAACTTGTTTTTTCGTAAGTTCAGATAGCGCTGCTGATATGAAGTTATACTTTCGAATGAAACATCGATAATAGTTGTAGAGTTCTAAAAATGACTGTATTTCCTTGATTTCTTGAGGGATAGGCCAATTTTGAATAGCTTGGACCTTTTTTGGGTCCATTTTAACACTATTAGAAGTAATTATGGCTTTTAAGAATTCATATTCGGTAACAGCAAATTCAGATTTTTCTCTTGCGTATTGCAAGTTGTATTCTCGTAGGGAGGCGAGGATTAGGTTGATATGTTTCTTGTGTTCTTCAAGATTTTTACTGTAGATCAAAATGTCGTTTAGATAGACAATATAGATTACATCGATGTGTTCTTGTAGAACATGATTTATAAAAGCTTGAAAAGATGCGGACGCATTGGTTAGTCCGAAAGGCATAACCATATATTCGAATAATCCATAGCAGCATTTAAAGGCGGTTTTCCATTCTTCTCCAGGGTTAATTCGGATATTATAGTAACTGTTGACAATGTCGAGTTTAGAAAATATTTGGGTGTTCACAAGGCGATCAAAAGATTCGTTTATGAGAGGTAGAAGTCCTGTGTCTTTGATGGTAATATCATTGAGACTTT